TGGTTTATTGAGGGAACCCAGTCAAGAGCAGCTGTGCCTGGATCTGCATTGCATGGCAAACCAACCACAGAGTTGGAACTCCATGCAAGCAGGAGTGACTGGGCAGAATTCACCAGCACAAGGTTGCCAACCTGAAGCTTAGAGTTCCTGTGCTCTGCAGCATTTTCTGTCTTGCAAAGTGGGCTCCCTTTATAGCATACATACAAGAACAGGGGAGAGGAACATCTGGAAAAGCTAAATCTTGATCAAGGACTTTTGGAGGAAAGCTTGCTAACGGCCTTGTTTCCATATGTCTTTGGTCTTGCAGTTGGAGAAAGAGACTCCACGGTGACGTTGAACTGCAAGGTAAGATTGGCTTCCTTCTTTGCAGGCGACAGAAATTATGAGGACTGGCAGGTTCTCTGGCTCAAGATTCTTTTGTCCAGGAAGACATTGTAGAGGGAGCTGCCAGTTACTGGCCCACAACATGGTTCCATTTAACGTTGTGCAGTACACCGCGTGGCAGGGGCTGTTCAGCATTTCAGGCAGAGATTGTTCCCCAGCAGTCCAAAGGAAGGAACTTGGGATCTTTGGCTTGCAGAGAAAACTACGCTCTTGCTGAGAGTTACGGCACTTTCTCTGATTAATCTATGGCAGAGGTTCCCAGGCTTGGCTAACCCAGGCATTCTTGGACTGGAACTCTCAGAAACCCCAGCGAGCATAGAGATGAAGTGGTGAAGGCTTCTGGGAAGCCTTTAGCCCAAGAACCCAAGGTTGAGAACCACTGATCTATGGGGTTGCACAGTCATTGATGTTGTTGACCACATGTAGGCTTGACACTTTTGCTGCTGATTTTGGTGCCCCCTCTCCACTGTCTGTCCCTCTTCTATCTTCCCATTTAGTCTGATTGCCTGTCATCCTGGAAAGTTTTGAAGGCATGTTGTCCCACTTCTAGGAGGACATTCCCAGCCCTGCATTGGGAGGGGAGAAGCCACATGGGGTTCAGCAAAGGCAGCTACCGGGCTGTCGCCTGGACTCAAGAATAGAGATGGGAGTATTCGTATACGAATATCCCCCAACAGGTGGAAATAACAAGGGTTATTGTTATTAATAACCATTCTCACCATTCCGCCACTGACGTGAGCTTGACGGAGCCTTCTCATCACGCTGTTGTCCACAATGGCTTAGCCAATCTGCGAACTGGAGAGAGTCATCCCGTCTTCCACCAGGACTGGCTAATCTATTGCTGACAATGGCGCAATAGAAAGGCTCCATCAAGCTCACGTCAGTGGCGAAATGATGAGTGGACAGTCCGCCCCATGGGGCCAGACTCTCGTTATTTCCACCTGTGGGGGGGATATTCTTATACCAATACCTGCATCTCTACTCAAGTCCTTGCTCTAGGAGCTGCTTTTGGGGGGAGAGGGTTCTTTGATTCTTCCCCCTCCGAATGTCAGTGCTTCTGGTGGCAAGAAACAGATAAGCACTTTTTTTTCCAAAAGTAAGTGGGGAAAATATGACAGGTTAAAAATGCTTAAGACAAAATGCTGGCTCTACGGCTTGGAGATGGAGATGTGTACCGCCCCCTAGAGTCAGACACGACTGGACTAAATGTCAAGGGGAACCTTTACCCAGCTGTCACCTGACACAAAATATGGCTGGAAAAGTTGTCCACTCTGGTATACCAAATTGGAGACGAAGGACCTTCCTTGTTCGCCAGGCCGTGCTTTGGGGAACTTGTAGCAGTTTGAAGCTGGTAGGACTGTGTTTATTTATTTATTTGTTGTTGTTTTTTTTTAAAAAACGGTCCAGAGTTTCCTAGGGAACTGTCAAGGACAGCACGGAGAGAGAGACAACGAGAGAAATGAAAGTGCCGAGGTGGAACCTCTCACAAATAATTCTCCAAATTATATCCCTTCCAACATGGGAACGACGCCTTGTTGTGCCTCCGCCCCAACAGAGGGTACCAAGGTAAAACAAAACAAACACACGTACACACCCAACAACCCAGCGCTTGGCTCTAAAAGAAAAATAATCCCAATAAAACCTGGACTCAGTTGAAAGCCGTGGCACTTTCCTCATTTGTGGACACGTCTCTCTCCCCCCCCCATACCTTCCCTAAGGCTTAGTTACTGGTAGGAAGACCTATCTTTTTGTCTTTTGCCTCCCTGCACCCCTGGATTTCCTCTGAAACTGAATTTGGCCCCTGGGTTTTGTCCACCCGCCGTTGGAGAATGTACAGTTTTAGCCAATGTTGACCTTGTTTTAGCTTTCCATTCTGGGCTGCTGTGTGAAGCTGATTCTTTCTTAGAATTAGGGAATCTCTGTGTCCGGGATGCCAATGTCCTTTCTGTTTTCACTCCTTTCAGGAAGGCTGTGAATTTCCAGCAAAAAGAGAGAAGACTCTGATCCCTGCTAATGGGAGGAACCCAACAGTAGGTAAGGGGGCCATACCTTCTTACATGTCTGCTTTAAACCTTCTGACTAACTTGCTCTTATAAGATGTGGGTTCTTGATGAAGACAGGTGAGACCTGCAATGAAATGTTGCAGCGTATTCTGTTGCCTGTCAGCCAGCCTGCATTTTTCTCCTCCAAGATGCTGCGTCCTCTCTGAATTTGTTTTTTTCCTTTTGCAACTGGCACCCATCATCCTGTGGCTAAAAAGCATGACCAATTCTCATTGAATTGAAGGGGGTGAGGGCTCCAAAGCTTTTAAACAGTTAAACAGAATCTATACAGAGTGCTGTAAAAACTCTGCCTCCAACCACTGGCAGATTTGCTTAACCACGTACACTTGATTTCTGAAATTCACCAGAAATTCACCATATACAATGAGGCACACAACTGTAGTACCATACAGAATATGGTTTTAGATTCCTTAGGAGCTTGGCCTATCATGGCATGCTTTCCCTAAAGATCTATATTACTGACAACATCTCAGCATCCACGTAACTTTTGTTGATCTCCTTTCCTTAAAAGCTTGCTCCCAAATTGTTGTTTTGTATTGTAACACTATGGACAACCCTACGAATTAAAATCCTAAATAGCAACGGATGACTTTCCTAGTCCTCCAGGACTTTTTGGTCAGACCGGGCATTTCAGAGCTTGGAAGGGGGGGGAGTAAGAACATAAAAATCCAAAATTAATTTAAGTGGTGAGGCCTCTACTCTTGAGTGGATTCCAATAACATAAAATAAAACTACAGTAACGGACTGATGGAACATCACACAAAAACCAAATCTTGAAGAATAAAATAACTGATGCAAAAAGTGTTTGTGTACATATACAAACCAACACATACACAAACTCTCTGTGTGTAATTACAATACAAAGATACAATAGATGATGGGAAAATAATGACAGTTATTCCGAAAACCATGGATTACAGGTGATCAATGAGCCAAATTAGTCTGGGGTAAGGCTCTGAAAAACCAACGTTACATTTTGGGTTGTTTTCTGAAGCCAAGGAGCGAAGTTTTGATTTTTGGATTGTGTGCATGGACCACACCGTGGCAATGTGTTGTGGTTTTTTTGTTTGCCTTTCAGCTTTGCGCCAGTCTTTCGAGACCTTCATCAGGCAAGTGCCTTTGAAGGAATGGCGGCGATACATGCGGGCCCTTGACCTGACCGACAACGAGATCACCCGAAGTGAAAGAAGTGAAGACGATCTATACGAGCAGCAGTTCCAGATGCTACAGACCTGGCTGGACAAAGGGGGCAAGGAGGCCGATCTGAACGCGCTGCTGGCGAAGCTGCGCTCCACGAACCTCCGAGGCGTGGAGAGGGAAATAAGAGAGGCCCTGATCTCTCAGGGTCTATACACCTATGAAGAATGAATTCCTCTATCGGGAAGTTTTACAGACTTTGCTTAAAAATGTCATTGTTTACACCTTGGCCTTGTTTGAGGCAAGTGTTATGCAGGAGTTTCTTCTCGTGCAAAGCTTCAGGTGCTTTATAAAATGACATTGAGAAGGTGGCCTTCCCGACCACCAGCAGCCAAAACAGCTATTGATGACAAAACATGAGTTCATGAGCTGGAAGGAAGGGAGGCGCATAGGGCTGGTGAGCTGTTCACGTTGGCTTTGATGTTTCTTGGCTGTTTGAGCCCCCACTGTTTGTGGAGAAAAAGTGTTGTTTTTTTTAAACTCATTATAAATTTTGTATTGCATGGTTTTGAAAAGGTTATCTTGGTGGGTGGTGGGTAGTGTTTCCCCCCCCCTCTGGCTTGAGGAAAGAAGGAATTTGATGTTTACGATGAAACTGTAGCTCACTGCCCCTTGAGAATAACAACGGGAGGGAAGTTTCAGGCATTTGTGTTGCAAGGACAAATAGAAGCGGGTTGCGTTTGATTGGAGGGTTTCTCAACATTGCAAGGAAGTTTATTGGTGCCTTAGGAGCCCTGCCCAGGAATCGCAGAACATGCTTTTTTTTGATGCAGGAGAAGGTGTGGTAGCCTTGCCCCAACTGTTCTTATTGGCCTCTGAGATTAGGTAAGGGGCGGGGCAAGCACAAACCACTCCCTTCTCTGTTGATGCTACACATTTTAATAGTGGCTGAAGCGGGGCTGAATATGGATCCGTTGGTGCACCAGTACTTCAGCGTTAAACATGTGAATGAATTGGAATGGAGCTCAATAAGGGAATTGCCTAATTCAGCGATCCCCAACCTTTTACAGTCCGTGGACCAGCTGGGGAAGTTGCCCCCCCCGCTTGTGCACATGTGTGAACAAGGGTGCACGCTCTCTCACACAAGCATGTGCCCCTGTGTGCATGTGCAAATGGCAGCGCAACGCTAGCACAGTTGTGCTGGAGCACGTGCGTGCAGACGAAAAAGGGCTGTGCGGGGGTGAGTGCATGCAGAGGTTGGGGCAGGAGTGTGTGAACAAGGGTGCACGCTCTCTCACATGAGCATGTGCCCCTGTCTGCATGTGCAAATGGCAGCGCAATGCTAGCACAGTTGTGCTGGAGCACATGCGTGCAGACGCAAAAGGGCTGGCACTGGGCTGCGGACCAGGGGTTGGGGACCTCTGGCCTAATTAGCTAGATAGGAATTGGAACTACATTGGTGCCTCGCAAGACAGTTGCCTCGCTGGATGAAAAATTCATGGTGCCTCGCAAGACAATTGCCTCGCTGGGTGAAAAATTCGCTAGACAAAAGGGTCCGGCAAGGTTTTCGGTGCCTCACAAGACGATTCTTCCTATGGCCGTTTTTTGCATGACGAATGCACTTGCAGAGGCTTGTCCAGCACCGTTTTAAAAGATAATGCCCTTTCCCCCTGCCTTCAGTAAGGCTCTGAATGGAAAAAAGGGGGGGGGAAGCCTTTTTCCATTCGGACCCTTACCAAAGGCAGGGAGAAAGGGCCCACTTTTCAAAAATGGTGCTGGACAAGCCTCTGCAAGCGCTGCTCAGAGGGGCCCGATGCTTCCCTTGCACCATCGGAAGACTGGCGAGGGGGATCCCTCTGGGTGAGCGGCGCTTTCATAGGCTTGTCCAGCAGCATTTTTGAAGAGCGTGCCCTTTCTCCTTGCCTTCGGTAAGGCTCCAAATGGAAAATGGCTTTCTTTTTTTCCCTTTTTCCATTCAGAGCCTTACTGAAGGCAGGGGGAAAGGGTGCACGATCAAAAATGGTGCTGGACAAGCCTCTGCCGCTCGGAGGGACCCCTACCAGTCTTCTGATGGTGAAAGGGAAGCCCTGGGGGACCTCCTGAGGCAGCAATCCGGGAGAGGGGGGCCCCGCCAGTCCTCTGATGGTGCTTCCCCAGCTCCCTAACTGGTAAGTGACTTTAAAAAAAAAAATTCCCATAGGAATGCATTAATTAAATTTCAATGCATTCCTATGGGAAACCGCAGCTTGCAAGATGAAAATATCGCAAGACAACATTAATCCCAGAACAACGAAAATATCACAAGACAACATTAACCCCAGAACAGATTAATTTCATCTTACGAGGCACCACTGTATAGCCTCCTAGTTATTCTCAAAGGCAGTTAGAATTTGGTTCATTAATACCTCTCAAAAGAGGTGCATGTATTTATAAGGTTCTATTTAATTTTTAATATTAAAGTTTATTTAAAGAATGTTGAGTAAACCTTTTATTTCTGAGACTGTTGTTTGTGCTGTTCTGAGCATCAAAAAAAAAAGAGTTCAAGTTAGAAAAAAAGATTACACTGCCTTCTTGGGCTTAAAAATTTTGGAACTTTGCATTTCTGGAGGAGCTAAGCAAAGAAAAATCCCATAACCCGAATCCTTTTTTCATCAGTTAACCAGCTATCACAGAAATACAAAGCAATTGTCATGGCTTATCCACCACCCCTCCCCCCAAACTTAACTGTGTGAATAGGAATGCAGACCAATTCCTTTCAAACAAACAAACAAAAATAACTTTAACACTGTTTGCACAAACTTCCCCAGATTTGGCACAGTGTCAGACAACATTGTCTAGTAACAGACTGCCAAATTTGTGTCTGAGCCAAAGGCCAGCTGGTAAGTTACAACTTTCTGTTTGGACCATTTCTCTTTTATTAATGGCCGAGAGAACTCTTGACTTTGCTGCACAATATCATTTGTATGTCTGGGCTAAGGAGAAGAGGATGTATCTTGTACGGAAAGCTAAGCAAGACTTTATAATCTTTTAGTACAGCATGTGATTTAGGCAAGATGTCCCTCATGAGACTTCACTTCTGGCTAAGTGTCTGTAGTGTCGGATTCTGAGAATGCCCCTTCTTCTAATTATCCTTTCACGTTACCTTAAAAATATCTCAGGGATGTGGGTGTTATCCACCCAGAAGCTGCACTGGGAGGGTCTGAGAGAGAGCAACAGGTCCATGATTTAATTCCTAGGTTTCGTAAGGTGGCTAGAGATGGGCACAAACCTTAGTTCAGAGATTCGTGTCAGCTTGTACGCGCAGCACCATAGGTGTGGCACAATCTCTTCCCCCATGTTCCTGGGCCAATGATCCACTCACCAGTCAGAGCACGCTCCTCTCCACCTCCAGCTGTTCAGCCAGCCCCTGGCAGGAGCATAGGATTGCCTATCCTGCCTCTTTCTCTGAGTGGGCGATCAGCCAAGGAGATGCCCTCCGTACAAACTGGCACGAACCCCTGAACCGAGGTCCGTGCCCATCTCTTCAGGTGGTACTTGGGCATCATTGTCTCTGGTCCAAAGGCAATTCTGTGCTGCTGTCTTCTAAAAGAGCCCAACAGAATGTGCTCGATTGTTCTGCCAACTGCGACTGTGATCATTATTTCATGTTGAAGTTGTTTTGCACTATAACTGTGTTCTAGGATACAGATGCTTCTCTTCTGTATGTTACATTTCCTCTAACTGAATTGTATTTTTGGTACTGCATATTAAAATGCGTTTTCCAAAATATAAAAAGGATTTGTCAAAATCTAGTTCCTATATATTTTGAATTGCATATATTGATTTTTGTTTTGTCTTTCAGCTTTAGTAAGGGTAACAATGAGAATGAATATAAGCTGTTTAAAGGTTGTAACATTTTACTTAAAGCTATGTAAAATAATGTGTGTGTTGTTCCAGGAGTGTGTATGAGTAATAAGTTTAAGAATCGATGAATGCACAGGTTCTTCTCAAGGTACCTTAACATACGCAGTTCTACTGTTAAGTGGACTTGTAAAGGGAAACTGCTCACATATGTCCAAGTTAGTCCCAAATTCCTCGAATTGCATATATTGATTTTTGTTTTGTCTTTCAGCTTTAGTAAGGGCACCAATGAGAATATAAGCTGTTTAAAGAGTGTAACATTTTACTTAAAGCTATGTAAAATAATGTGTGTGTTGTTCCAGGAGTGTGTATGAGTAATATGTTTAAGAATCGATAAATGCACAGGTTCTTATCAAGGTACCTTAACATACACAGTTCTACTGTTAAGCGGACTTGTAAAGGCAAACTGCTCACATATTTCCAAGTTAGTCCTCTTAAGGTATAGCTTTTTGTTATCAGGGATCAATGGAATCACCATTGGAGTCAGTGATCATTTGCTATTTATCTTTTTGTAAAATAAGTAGTGAACGTTGTTGTTATGCGTCTTCAAGTTGCAACTGGCTTATAGCAACCCTAATAGGGTTCTCAAGGTGAGTGAAATGCAGTATTTGAGGAGGGGTTTTACCCTGGCCTCCTGAATCCGAGTCCATCGCTGTCCACCGTACCACACTGAATGTAACCTGTATATAATATTTCACTTCCACCAATTTCTGTGTGTATCCGTAATCTAGCTTTCACTGCAATCTTTGAGGTAGAAAAATGCCTGATCCTGTGCTAGAATCTGGCCGCTGGTCTTTTCCTGTATTTAGGGTGGCAAGTGCATTGGAGAAGAGTCAGCAATACACGAGGCTGTCTTAGAACGAGTGAGAATTCTGTGCTATCAAGTTTATTCTGACTTAACGGCTGATCCTTTCCAGGGCTTTCTAGCTATAGCATATTCAGAAGTGGTTGGCCATTCTTTTCCTCAGGTGGTGTTCTGGCACCAGTGTGGCTTTTGCCAAAGACCATGCAGTCTTTTCTGGTTTACAACACTGCCAAGATTCAAAGGGACAATAGTGAGGAGTGCTGCCATCTTCGCTGCCTGCTACCTGGGGTGGTTACCTTATTCTACTTTTTGATAGGGCTGACCCAGTGTTATTGTTACATATTGGCCTCACTTGTGGTTTGTGCAACATTTCCCATAGTCTTGCAGCCCAGTCTCATCAGATGGGCTGGGAATCTTCCCTTGAATGTCCAGGACTATGGTCCAAGTTGACTCATCTCAAAGCCTGCAACAAAGCATCCATGGCAGTGGCTCTTAGAGTCCTAGGGTCTGCCCCGAAGGAAGTGCAACACAACTGGACATGACCTGGAAAGCCAATGGTCAGTCCCATCATGGAACAAGAGTAAAATCTGAATGGCACCATGCATCATTATCCATAAAGTCTTCTTCCCCCTTGGAGAGAGTCATGTTGGCATGCTAATTGCAGTTTTGTCCTACATCTGCCAGCATTAATTGTAAAATTCCTTAAGACTTTTGTGGGGGGAAACTACCAAGAAATGATGCTGCCAGCAGCAGTTAGACCTGGTTTTGCAAATATAAAGGTAGACACTTTAGCCTAAGAAAGACTTGGTGGTGGGAAGGATTACATGAAAAGGCCAAATCGTTCATCTCTGAAGCTTTTGGGGACATTTTTGGTGCTCTATGTATATTTTCAGGCTTGGATGACTGCTCCAGGTTCCAGTGTGTATGTATATAACTTTGCTCACTCCTAAATCCCATGGCTGATTGTGTTACAGGGTTGAATCTAAAGCTAAATACTCATAGGCTGAACTGACAGAGGCAAAACTGTGGTAGCTCTCTTTTCGTATTTCTCCTTCACTGAGCTGTTGCACTCTCTGCCAAGCCCCCAAATTAAAGACAGACCGCGAATCTCTTTTCAAAATACCATTTATTACAACAGAACTTTCCACACTAAAATACAAGTTGATGGTGTATTGGTTTGTTTCATTAAAAACAAAAAGTGTCAACTTGTCGGGGGTTTCCGTCCTTCCGGAAAGCAGTCCATTCCACAATTTGGAAAAGATGTTCACTTTCTCTCTTTTTTTGGACTATAATTCCCAGAATTCTCCATCCTGGCTGGGCTGTGGCCATGCTAATTGGGGGGAGCATGGGAGTTGCAGTCCAAAGAGTATCATTTCCATGTTCTGCTCTACTCCCAAACGTGTTGGCTAGAACCGTTCGAACGGGAGAGAAATAGGTTCCCTTCTCCCATCTCTCTTAACTTTGGTCTGGTCATTCTGAGCGACTGCTTTACAAGCTACTAACTTTTTTTTTTTAAAAAAAGGGACAGCACAGGGAAACAGGATTATCCCCAGCCTTGATAAGTGGCTTTCTCCCTTCTAGGACTCTTTCCCACGGCAGCTGAGTCCCCATGCAGAATCTGAGCCCCTGGGCTTCTGTCTCTTCCACGGGGGGGGGGGCTGCCTTTTATGTGAGGGAGGATGATCCATGGCTGTTTCCTTGCAGCCAGGATCCGTGCCCTGACAAAATCCTAGAGATAAGAGCCAAGTGGTAAGTGCAACAAAAAAATTGGGGCTGCCCTGCCCTCTAGCAGCCCAGAAAGAAAATACAGAGATATATACATATATATCCTGTGACATAGCATCTAGAGCAGCTTGAAATGTTATGGTGCAGAGAATGGACAATGTGAGACACTCAATTTCTCTCTCTTTTTTTGCTTTTTGGAAAGGAAAAGAAAATCATTAAAAACAACGCACAGCTGCTACATTTCCTTGCAGCAGTTTTTTTTTCCTTTGTAATAGTAAAAAACACAAAAACCTCTTGCATTCCTGTAAACATGAGGTTTGTCCTGCGAAATGAGTTGAGCCCTGTGATAAAGAGAAATGGTTTCCGCCTGCCCATTCTTGTCTGGGCGCTCGGCACCAACGCTGGCTGAGGCCGGCACCGTGACTGTGAAGAGCTGTCTGGATGGGATGTACGGATGCTATGGCCTCCCGAGCATCAACTGGACAGAGTTTCCTCAATCTCTCAGGGGGGGCGTTCATGCTTGGGTTTCTCCACTGAAGGTTTCTGCTGGCGCGATCCTTCTTTTTTCTCTTCCTCCAAACCTGTCGAACCAGATGTTGGCTCAGGGCGGTGGCTGGCGCTCTTCCTTCCAAGACCAGATGAAAACATGAGCGGCGTCTTCTCTCTCAAACCACAGCGGAAGAGGAGGAGGAGGAGGAGGAAGAAGAAGAAGCAGCCGCTGTGGCCGCAGATGAGGAAGGGGACTGGGCGGGGGAGGACGTGTTCCAGAAAAGCCACCTCCTTTTGGGCTGCCGTTTCTGGTGGAGATAATCTTCCTTCTCACGCTCTTTCCTGGCTCTCTGGAAGTGGTCCTCTTCCTTCAGGTACCAGACTGGGGGCCACCGATGCTTCTCAAAATAGTCTTGGTTCTCTGCAGTGGGGAAATTCAAATGTGGACATTCAAACTCTGGCCACTAGGTTTCTGCTATTAAAGGCTACAGAGAATATATTTGGGGCATGCGCTTATCCCTTTGAAGTGGAAGGTGGTCTAGCAACATAAAAGCATGCTCTGGGGGCTAAAAGAGGAGTGCCAAAAGGCATCAATCCAGATAGTGGGCTGCAACGACCAGCATTCTCCCCAGGGGCTGAGCTGCCTGGGGCTGAAAGGGGTTGTCGTTCAACAATTATGTGGTGGGTTGCATTTTGTCCACTCCTGGGTTAAATCCAGGGTTAGTCCCAAATGGACTGTTCAATAGCTATATGCGCAGAACCTCCCAACGGCAGCAGCTGCCCTACTTGGGGGGCGCAGTCCCTAGTGGGAGCTCATTATTAGATGGCTTCTGCAGCTCTAGGAGAATGAGTATTAAACTGGATGCAGACCTCTGCAATCAACAGAATGTATGTCACTGTTGTTGGTGGTGGGGTTCTCTTCTAGTTGGGACATCTGTGGAGTGTCGGGCACAGTTTAATTGCAGCCAAGGTGAACAAGAAAAGCCTCTTTGTGGAAGGAGTTTCTATTTAGATTAACAACATGAGCAAGGGAAGGTTCCATTTTATTTACAGTAGGACCCCCTTATCCACAGGATCAATGTTCACTGATTCACTCATCCACTGCCTGAAAATACTAAATAAAACCTGGCAGAATAACATATTCCCGGGGTGTGTTATCAGAACTGGCCACTAGAGGGAGGAAGAGACCACGCAAGGTATAACATTCAATACTTCCACATTTTGGAACCGATCCCCCATGGATACTGCGGTCCTATTATATTTCTGAAAGGGGCTTGTTGCTTTTTCTCCCAAAGAAACACTCAAGGCCCTGGCCTGTACTGACCTGCTGACATGGCTTTCATCTCACGGGGGTACTTGCGGCAGATGTTGTTGTAGTTGGTGCAGATGTGATGGAGGCACCAATCGGCAAGCTGATAGGCACCGTGGAACTGGAGGCAGAAAGGAAGACAGGCATGAGGGATGGTGTAATGCCCTAGGCTAAGGCAAAGAGCATTGCAGGTCAACTATAAAGCAGAACAGGGGCCCATGGACTCAACTCCCACTTCAGTCCTAGCCAGCATATTCAGTGCTGAGGGATGACGGGAGCTGAAGCTCAAGAACATGTGGAGAGCCATGCATTCACCAACCCTACAATGGCTAGTAAATCCAGTGGGGGAGGGAAGCAAACCCTTTAGCAAAGACAGAATTCCATACCACTGTATAGGTATGGAGACGAGGACCATGAATGGCTACAGGCCAGGGCAGCTATATATCGGCTCTGCATCTCAGTTGCTGGACAATGTGAAACAAGAGGCAACAGTTGCACTCTTCTCCTGCTGGCAGGCTTCACATGGACAACTGGCTGGCCAGTGTGCAAAAGGAATACGGTGGTGCCTCGCTTTATGATTGCCCCGCATTACAACGAATCCACGATCACAAAACGATGGTCTAAATGGGGGAATTTCGCTTTGCGATGATCAGTTCCCTGCTTCGGGAATTGATTCTTCGCAAAACGACATTTTTCTAACAGCTGATCAGCGGTTTCAAAATGGCCGCTGGATGATTAAAATGGCTCCCCTCTGTGTTTAGGGACAGATTCCTCACTATACAGGCAGCGAAAATGGCCGCCGTATGGAGGATCTTTGCTGGACGGTGAGGTTTTACCCCATTGGAATGCACTGAATGGGCTTCAATGCATTTCAACGGGTTTTTTCATTTTGCTTTACATATTTTAGCTTAACGGCGATTTTCCTGGAAAGGATTATTGTCGTAAAGTGAGGAACCACTGTACTGGACTGGAAAGAGCTTTGACGTGGTCCAGCCTACCCCTTCTTTCATTCTTACACTCAACCAGTTTATCCCAGCATGCTACCTCCATCAGCCAATTACCCTTGGAAAGCTTCCCAGTAGATACCCTCAAAAGAAAGAAAAGTCTGGTGGGAGATGACCTTAAGGCACAGAAAACCTCAGGTTTGGTTCCCTCTCTCTCCAATTAAGACAGCGCTGGGGAACATATGGCCTCCAGATGTGGTTGGACTGCAGCTCCCATCTGCTCTAATCAGGATAGCCAAAGGGGAGGGATTACAGAGCGGCAACCAAAAAACATCTGGGCAGTTTGCCATCCCAGGGCCACAAGGACCAGCTGCAATCTTTCCTTTTGAAGTGGGAAAAAAGTATTGCGGCACTTTCTAAAACAGGCAAATAAATGGGAACAGGTTTAGGATTCACTGGGACCAAGGAGCTCCTACCTGTGCCAGCTCCAGGAACACGAGGACGTCGCCGTCAATGTCCGCTAACATTGACGTCGCTTCCATTAGTCCCGACACTGTAAACTGCTCTGTAAACAAAAAGCACAAGCTGGTTAAGTCCTATCGGCATGACAAAGATAAATAGCACTGCTTCTTAAGCAACAAGGGAATTAAGTATCTAAATTAAAAAAAAATAGTTCAGGCATAGTGTCCCTTTTTAAAATTAAACCTGAAATCAATACAAAGACAACGTAAAGCTGATGCACTGTGGAAACACAATTGTTAATCTTTTAGAACGCTGAGTTGGAATATAAAAAGTTGCTCTTCAGTTGGGAGTGGTGCCAAGCAATATTAGGCAGTCATGCATAAACAGAAGGCTGAGGAAGTAGGACAGAGAGATTTCAGGGCCAGGAGAGTGAGGTCCACTATTTGTAAAAGTCTTGACGTTAAAAAAAGAGCAAGCAAAGCAACACCAATAGCCCAAACATATCAAAGAGAAGACTTCTAGCTAAGTCACACCTTTTTTATTTTTGTAGAAATGGTTTTCCTTGTGTGGAATATTTTTGGGTTTTGCAGCATGTGTTCACTAGGTCTGAGGAAGGGCAGGAGAGTAGCGCAGAGTGCCACCTGCTGATCCACTCAACCATGACAACAAGTCAACCAGGAACTTGCCATCTCCTCTTTCATGGGGAGACACCTTCTAAACAATCCTAAGTTTTGAACATGATCTAATAATAATTGTGTGCTGTCAGGTCAATTCTGACTTAACAGAGATCCTTTTCAGGTTTTCTAGATATAGAATACACAAAGGTGACTTAGCATCCCCTTCTGGGGGCATCTTGAGACTATGCAGCTTGCCCAAGGCCACGTAGGCTGGCTCTTCTGGGATGCACAGTATGGGGAATTGAACTCCCAGCCTCAGACTCTGCAACCAGATACCCATTGAGTTATCTAGCCAAAGAGCATGGCCAAATTTTGCATTGAATCTGATCATTCTGGCCTTTAAAGAAGACCGGGCTCTCCAGCTCATACGCTTCCACTCAAGTCATCCCCTTTTCCCTTAGTCCTGCATTACAACACACCATGTTCGTTCCAAAACTGTGCCTTCTGGGCTGAGGAAGTTGGGAAACTATGGGGAAGATGTCCTGACAAGCTACGCTTCACTTTGAACTACTAAACCAAGCTGGTGCCTGTGGCTCTCAACTTACCTGTTAGTGCAACCAGGTGTGGCAGACACAAGCGGTTAGCTAGGATGATGAGCTTCATGTAATCAAGATCTGGTGTGGAACAAAACTGTCCGGTGTACAGGTACTCCAGCACTGCCCGCATGCAGCTTTTGTTGGTGTAGGGTAACACGACCTATAAGAGGTAAACATAGCAGGGTTTCAATCTGTTGCATATGCACACGCAGAAAATTCAGAGGTTGCAAACTTCTTTGGAGGGGGTCACCAGAATCCCTCCCCCCCAAAAAAAATAACTGCAGGAAATCTAGATCTTGTAAATACTAATTTTCATGACCATCTCCAGCATTCTCTCAGACTAGTCCATGCAACCCTTCAGAAAAAAATTAACTCTATCAGCTCTGGTGATGCCCACTTCAACTACAGAACAACAGCCCAGGTATTCTGTTTCAAAGCTGCCTCCTGCACCATCTGGCAGAACTCAATTATACAGCAGATCTTGAACCTAGAGCTTAAGAACTGTTGGGAAATGAAACAGACTGGGTCTTAGGGGGTGTGCACTTTCCCTTTTTTTTTTTTTTTTTTTTTTTTTTTTGAATTCCAATTTTCAGAATTCTCCAGGAATTTCCCTGGCAGAATTATACGAGTCACCGCCGAAAACACACATCTACAGACACTTAGATTTCACTCATTTGGAGAAGGCCCCTCTCTCAAGGCTGCATGGCCTTCTCCAGCCTTACTTCCTGTTGTTAATGTGGGGAGCGGGGAGAGAAGAAGAAGCCGCAGTAGTGTTTCCTGGGAAACATAGCCTCCCTGCCCATTAGGCTTTATAGAGGCTGCTGCCTCCCAAAGAACTATAACTTTCAGGAAACATTGCAGCGGCTTCATTTGTTGTAGTAGTTTAACCATCTCAGATGCTCTTACAACCAATTGTTTGAGGCAGTTCAGCTTGAATATGATACATCTACTCTCCTCCCTTCAGTGCTACAATTTTTGGAGAAGGAATATTGTAGCTGAGGGTGGTCAGAAAAAATCATTTTCTCCACTTCCTCCATTCTTAACCTCCCGTGCCCCAACCTAGAATTGAAAGGCTGCAAGTCAAGGATCGTTTTTAATTGTCACACTGCTGATTTCAACTCAAGTTGTCTTCAGTGCTACAATTTTTGGAGAAGGAATGTTGTAGCTGAGGGTGGTCAGAAAAAAATCATTTGCTCCATTTCCTCCATTGTTAACCTCCCGTGCCCCAACCCAGAATTGAAAGGCTACAAGTCAAGGATCGTTTTTAATTGTAGCACTGTTGATTTCAACTCAAGTTGCTCACAGAGTACGTGCATTATTTACTGGCTTCCGCCATTATTTATTCAGGTGTTGCACTTGAATCTCGCCTTCCTTCCAGCAAGTTCAAGAAGGCATATGTGACTCTCCTCCACTGTATCCTCACAATAACCTTGTGAAGCAGGTTAGACTTGAGGGCCACCCACCGAGTCCCTTGGCTTAACAGGGATTCAGCCAAGGTCTCCTGAATGGTCACTGGGGCTTTCAAGTCTTCCCCACCACCTCCTCTTCCCTCCCCTTGAGATCCGGCTAGTAAGAGAAAAGCCAAAACAGGTTGTTGGCTCCCTGCCTGCAGCTCCGCCCCAGACGCCCTTCAGGATCTCAGCTCAGCAACTGAAAGGCGCTCAAAGCTTGTTCATCAGAGCAGTTGGCCAGGTGCAGAGTGCACCCCCCCAAAAAAAACCCTATGCGCTAGCAACCTGTGCACTAGCAACCAGGGTGCGGTCTTGGTTAGTTACAGCTTAAGACGAAATCCAGAAGAAGGAAAGATGACTCTTTAGGGCTGTGTTTCTCATTTCCTCACCTCTCGAGTTGAGCTCTCAACAAATGGACCTCCAAACATGGCTGCCATCCAGTCACAGCTGGAGATTAGCAAGGGTTTGTGGGCACTGATAGCACCGTCGTCCAGCATAAAGGTGACATCTGTCAGAGAAGAGGCAAAAGGCGGGTTAGTGCATGTTGAAGTCTTCATGGAGCGAGCTTTACTATCAAGAGGGAGCTCCCTTTTTTACCAAGTCATCACAGACACCAAGCTCAGAACTACCTACACCAGCTGTCCTGTCAACCCGTCCCCCTTGAAGTATTTGAGACAGTAGCCACCATTATGCTGGCCAGCGCGTCAAATGATACGAGATTTTGGGAAGCTGAAGTCCAAATTACTTGTAGGACACCAGGATGAACTTGAACTACAGTTCCCAGAATGCCCCAGTGAGGGCCAGTAGCCTAGCTGGCTGGGACCCTCCTGGAAGTTTTAGTTCAAAAACGTAACTCTTCCAACCCCCATTTCTGGAATAAATGAATGAGTAAGGGCTCTAATCTGCAAAAGAGTTCACTTTTCATGTGACTATTTTCCTATACTGAAAGGGGAAGCATCTAAAAAGTACAATACGGTGATTTTAGTACCTCAAATGTGGGTTTTTTCTTCTTGTGTATGTGTGAATCCATCACCAAGTGTGCATTACTGGATTTCTGTAGCCCTACAGCTGGCAAAAGGCTTCCTCTCGGAAACCAATCTGATAAAGCACAGCTGGGCAAAACAGAGCCCTCCAGATGCTGTTGGACCACAGCTCCCATCAGCCTTACGCAGCCTAGCCATGGTTAGAAATGTCAGGAGTCACAGTCCAGCCACATCTGACGAGCCACACTCTGACGACCCATCTTATAAGGGCTTTACAAAAACCGAAGCAAGCCTAGTCAAGTGGATCGTAGGCTGCAAATTACCACGGCATGCACTGATATAACATTTAATGCAACAATAATCTGCAATGCATGAGGCCAGCATTTTGAGCTAAAACAAAACCGGACCTTTAAAGCTTGCAGTCCTTAACCCACTTGCTGGAGACAGTAAGCCCCATCCAATAAAAAGGACTTATTCCTATAGGGTTGTGCTGTAAATGTACCTACAAGCGCCTGCCATTTTAAAAGCAACGGAGTCACCTGGGAGCACTCCAGTAATTTGGAACCAGACAGAGCACAAGGCCAGAAAGAAGTAGCCAAAAAAAATTCGGAACAGTTTAAGACAAGTGGAAACAAGGCAGCTTCAGTTACATTTTTTTAAATCCGGAATCTACTGCCTCTAGTTGTTGTTGTTTAGTCGTGTCTTTGTGACCCCATGGACTGCCTCTAGTAGCAGCAGCAATAAAAGCCACTCGGGGTTTTAAAAAACAATTGCTGTAGAAGATCCCTGCTCCATAAAGGGCAGAGCAGGAACAAGAAATGCAGCAACAGATTTTTCTGGACTTCTGAGATTGGCGAAGAGCAATTTAGCACAAAAACTTAAACTGGCTGCTGCACAGGAATCGTCAAGATGCCTTGAGTAATGGAACAGACAAGCCATCTGGTGGCAAAGGCAGCCCCATGCTCCTTCAGAAGAGGGCTATGCAGTATAAAGTACAGGCAACAGAGATCTGAGCAGTAAAAGCCTTCTTGCACTGTACTACCTCTGGCTCTGTATGTGTGTGAGAGAGTGTGTGAGTGTCTGCTTGAATGCTTCTCAATTAAAAACAACCACCACCCAATGCATATTACCAAACAGCCTTGAGCATGTTTTATTTGCTGTCTTTTTTGTGCCTTTCTTTTTTGGACTAATAAAGGTAGCGAAAACAGAAGGCAAAAATAGCGATTCTAGAAGAATTACATAACTTCAGCGTTGAGAATGAAGAAAGTGGTAATAATCTTCTATTCTTTGTTTCTATTATTAATCCCAAATGGAGAATGCAAGCAATAAATCAAGAAGACTGAGACACAGAAGGTCTGCTGTGAAAGAATTAGAAACGATCCTTAATTGTAAGGATGTTTTGCTGGGGACCAAGGCCAAGAGCATCCAAAGCACAATGTTCTCAATTACTATGTATGGATATGAAAGCTGGATAATGAAAAGCGGGACTGGAAGAGGAGAAATCCATTCCTCTGAAATGATGTGTTGGAGAAAAACTTCAGTGTTTCTGTGGACTCCCAGAAGTGGGCTTTAGATCAAATCAAGCTTCAACTCATACTAGAAGCTAAACTGACTAAACAGAGGCTTTCATGCTTTGGACATATCATGATAACTCATACTAGAAGCTAAACTGACTAAACGGAGGCTTTCATGCTTTGGGCATATCATGAGAAGAGAAGACTCACTGGAAAAGACAATAGTGCTAGGAAAAGCAGAAAGCAACAGGAAAAGAGGAAGACACAACATGATGTGGAATTGACTCAGTCAACAAAACCACAGCCTCTAGTTTGCAAGACATGAGCAAGGCTGTCAATGGTGGGACCTTTCAGAGGTCATTAATTCAAAGGGTTGTCATACGCTGGGAGTGGCTTCATGGCACATAACAACTATAAAGGTAGCAGCTAGGTACAGATTTTAGCTGCCTTGACTACCTCTGCTGATAATGTACATAGCATTGTATTGCATTATGTCATAATAATTATATACCATTGCATATAATTATAATTACAGGCACACCTGTTTATGTAATACCATATTGTATCAGATAAAAAGGTTCAGTATAGCCATTTCCCTGCTATTTTGAAATATATATTTAGATTTAAAATTCTGGTGAGAAGTCTTACAGAAGACTAGCAGATTTTGGGAGTGTGATTTAGTGCAGTCTTCTTTCCGAGATGCTGCTCAACACAAAGAGGTCATTTGTTTGAGTTAGAAAGCATTAAAACGCCAGGTCCATGTCAGCTTCTAATAAGTCATTCCACCCGCCTTGGGCTATAGAACTCCCCCTCTCCCTGGCCCCACTGACTTCCTAGAAAACAAATTATGACATACCGGAAAATGTTCCCTTGGCTAGACACTCCTTAACTCGGTTGGTTCTCCTGACGTGGAAGGCTTTGGTGATCTCCTGGTTCATGAAAGCCTCATTGTTCAGGATGTTGGCCACCATCATCCTGAGATCGAAGACTTCCAGTAGCTCAGCGATATGGGCAATATGCATGAGGTCCCTCTCATTCTCATCCAGTTCCCCTGTGTACAGATATTTGAGCACAGCCCGAAAGGGCCCCAGCTGGATGGAAGGGTCCATCTTCACCACCACCATCGGTCGGGGTTTGTAGGTCACAGGATCATCCGCCATCTCCTCCTGGATGCTGACAAAGGCACGGCTCCAAGAGGAGAGCATCTTCCCCCTCTTTAGCCCTCGTTCCCTGTAGTTGTTGCCCCGCAATATCCCATCGCTGGTGGAGGCTCTAAGGCACGGTTTTTGCTGGGCCGAGCCAGCTTCCTCGGCACTCTCGCAGATGTCAAAGCTCGCGGCTCTCAAGAGGAATTCCCGTCCATGGTGGTGCCGTTCCTGGTAGAGGGTTCGCTCCGGCACACTGGCTCCGATGCCACTTTCGGCTGTCTCCTGCTGGTCTTCCTTGCTCAGGTCCATCAAAAACAAGTCGTAGAACTTGGAGGAGGAAGTGGAGAGGTAGACCTTGTGTGCATAGATTTTTACTCTCTCTTGCAGCACCAGGATGACATCTGCACACAAGGGGTCCTCCAGCAGATGAGCTGGGTGTTCTTCGTTGTTGGATGGAGGGTCAGGAACAAGGATGATGGGAGGAGGTGGCTTGGGGGGCAGGAAAGGGGCCTGGAGCAGTGGTCTCTGGACGTTCCGTAGGTGGGACTTCCAGAACTGGAGATGCCGGCGGGAAATGAGGGCAGCTCGGATGGCATTGTCGAAGACGTCCTTGATCCCAAACTGAGCAACTACGCTGGTCTCATAATAGGGGATCCCCAGCTCCTTGGCCACCTCTCGGCCCTTTTCTGGGGGCAGAATTTCATTGGATTTGATTGGTCTGGAAGGGGGACAAAAAGGAGGGGGGAAATAAAACTTGACTTTGTCTCAGCGATTGATATCCAAAAGGATAGATGAAGGTAGGTTGGCCTAAATGGCTAAAACAATAGCAATTCATAATGACAAAGATGACGTTGGCCTCTGGGCATATTGCATCCCATTAAGGGGCTCTACCTATGCCTGCTGGTGTTTCTGTCACCTCTTTCTCTCCTTCTGTTCTTTGCTTTTTTCCCCCTCCTCTCTTTATTCTTAGTTACACAGCTTAGAACAGTTAGGAAGCTTTCTGCTGGGCACTAGAATCAAACTAGAAGTATATGAAATATTACTTTTTCCAAAATCAGGTAGAGCATTGTGTGGCACAATTTGGTAAGTGATACGACTCTTCTGACTGTGCGGATCAAGGGGTGGTGGGAGAGCAAAAGGCAGCTCTACCTTTACGGAGAGAACTGTGAGAAAGCTGTTTCAGTCTGCAATTTGTCAACAATACGTTACACATGCTCAGTCAGTCAAAAGGGAAATCTCTAATCGCTGCAGATGTTAGGGTCCGAGGAAAGGCAGAGGTTCTGCACCTTGCCTTCTTCCAGCCCATATTGGCTGTCACCTGTGTGCATGAGAGGTGCACTCCAATCTACCTTGTTTTGCTTGACTAACTGCAACCAGCCTCTCTCCCACATGTGCCACACGTCAATCCATACCAAAGTCCATACCTCCCAACCATTCTTTTTTATCTCTCTCATCTATAGAGCCAGGAAAGGAAGCCGGCAAGCAGTGCGGTATGGAGGTAGGCAGGAAAGCAAATCTAATCCTGTGCATAGCCAAAGCACAGGACTCCACCGATTCTGCTCAGAAAAGGTCACCTGTTTGTCATGTGACGCCTTCAACACGTCCTGGCCATCCACAATCTAGCTTCTCCCGCTTACCCAAGCCCTCCGTGCACTCTCTTCTTACCTAGCTAAGGGTCGCCTTGCTCGATTTACCGCCTCCAGGTCAGCATAGCGAAGGTCAAGCTGGCAGCCGACGAGGATGACGGGTGCTCGGGGGCAGAAGTGCTTGATCTCAGGGTACCACATGGTCTTCACATGGTGTAGGGAGTTGGGGTTAGCAATGGAGAAGCATAATACTACAACGTCAGATCTGGGGAGAGAAGGGAGGCAGGATTTAGTCGCAATGTCGGCACTTAGCACATCCTCTTTTTATAGGAATCGGCAACCAAGAGAGAAAGGATGCAGCCTGTTTGATGACACGTGGGCCCTCCAAATGCAACCCCCCCTCCCCCAATCCTGGCCAAAGTGTTGGAGCAAATCTAGCAGTGCCTTTGCACATATTTGTCCCCCTCCGTCCTAGTGTTAGGTTAGCATTCCTACAATGATTACCAAAATGACTTTTGTTATACAATACATACTTTTCAGTCCAGTCTACTGGAATGGAAGCAAATTTCTGCCCCTTTCCATCCCATTGCTTCCCAAGTAGAGGACTTTGCTTGTTTCCATGTGAAAGGAGGGCGTTAGTTTACATGGAAACAAATAAAAAAGCAAAGAGGGATAAACACGGGGGAGGGAAATATTGGAATAAGGTTAAAACTGCCTGTTAGCAGGACATGAACACAGTAGCAACTTTCTGCTCGTGTTCCCCAACATGCTGCCTCTGGGCCTGGAGGAAACAGGCAGCCATGGGGGTGACACCTAGCCTTTGTGAGTAGTGGCCATTGATAGCTTTATCCTCCATGAATTTATCTAGTATCCTTTAAAAGCTGTCCCAGTTGGCAGCCATCGTTACCTTTGGTGGTAGTGAATTCCACAACTTAGCTATGCGAAGTACTTTTATCAGTTCATGCTAGGTACACCTGAAGGCCAGGTAAATGATGCTGCACCTGGCAATCAGTACTCACCTTCCATAAGCAAAGCGCCGGTCTTTGTGATGGTCCCCAAATGTATCCCAGAGTCGCAAGGAAACACTAACATCATCTACTACATCTCGGGAGCGCTCCAATACCTGAGACAAAGGAAAAATTAAATATCAGGTCTGCTTCCTACATAAAAGGGAAGTTAGGTGGAGAAAGCTCATGCTATGTATTTCCAGAAGCTTTTCATCTCTAATAGTCAGTGATGCTAGTTTTCCATCCAGTGCCTTCTTCCTGATTTCTTTCCCCCTAGAAAAGTTTCCAACCAACTAAACTGACTGTGTCTAGCATCTCAAAAAGCATTTTCTGAGATCCAGAACTATTTGAACTAAAATGTATGATTAGGGAGAAATATGTGGAATGAGTCACAATAAAGCTGCAGCCCTATCCTTGCTTACCTGGCAATAAGCCAGTTGTATGTACGTCCCTTACATTGTTTTTAGGAGATGTATGTGTGAAGAAACAAGCACCCCTGCAGACTGCTGGCATACTAAATTTAACATGCAAGAAAGAGCTTTTGCATTTCCACGTATTATATATGCATGCATGCTTCTCAGGCGTAGTCTTCTGAACAAAAATGTACAATTTTGCAAGTCTCCAATAGAGCTGACGTTATATCCGCTAGGTTACTAATTCTTTTTTAGAAACAACATTAACTCTCTCTGTGTGTGTATGTTGTGTATGTGTTTAAACAACAGACAATACCGCAACACCTAAAGACTAGCAATCTTTTTCTGTATTTTTTTCTGCAGCCCATTTTTTGGCCATCTAAAACATTGCAATGTGATCGCTTTTGTGATTGCAAAAACCTCATCGCTATGCAGATTCATCGTTAAATGGGGTGCTCATTAAGTGAGGCACCACTGTATTGCTCTCTTCCCGCCAACCCCTGCCCAAAACATCGCAACGATGCAGATCTGCCCCGGATCTGCGAATTTGATTCTCTGTAATTTCAGAAATTGATCTGGGATCACCTGAAGCCAATCCACTCCAAAGGAAGAGATTCCTCCCCCCCCCCACCTGAAGGCATTTGTTGGGTTCCTGATGAAAGACACCACTTACCTCCTGGCAAACACGGTACTGATCGATGGCCCAGACCGTGGGCACGTGGGTGGCCAGAAGCTGGTACTGGGTCAGCGTGGCATTGCATGCGCGGGCACAAATGAGCCTGGTTTTGCCCACCGCGTTGTCCCCAACCACGACGCACTTGATAGTTTCTACGTTTGGCCTTTCATAATCCATGTCAGAATCCATTAATTGGGACCTAAAGTGAGAAAGAAGGGTAGAAATGGAGAAAAAGAGTGTCAGGCATGGGTATACTCTGGTGGCTTGTCTGAGGTTCCTTCCCGGGCTGGTTGTCCCGTGGTCTCGTTCAAAGAGAACCTTGAAGTTGGGCGCCAGGGAAGACTATCTCCCAAAAACAGCACACAACGGGAGGCATCTCCATCACACAGTGAACACTGCACAGCAGAAGTAGTCCCAACGGCTTGGGGGTTTCACGTCCTGTCACAAGGGCTTCGCTGTAACTCTGCCTTCTGCCTGCTTCGGAATAAACTGGCCGCTCCTAGAAATCAACTTTTCCACACCCCTAACAACGACGGAGTGGCCGCAGGTGCCCTGGAACGCGGCAAAGTCCAACCAGCCGAGAGCCACTGGTTTCCAGAGAGGGAAAGGGGAGGAACTGAGGCTGCAGGCGACACGATCCAACCCGCGGTCTAAGACACAACCCCTCCAAGGGGTTCTCCTCCAACTGTACTTGCAGCAGGATCCGAGTCCTGATGCCCCCAAAGCCAGGAGGGCCCCAAAGAAGCAAACACCCATTCTGGCAATTTTGCAGAGAAGGGATGATGACCAAGTGCCTGATACAGAGAGGAAGGAAGCCTCTGGCCTGACCCGTCCCCTCTGTCCCTCCCAGACTCACCTTTCGAGCGCCTGATTCAGTGGCATTCCCTTCCCACACGGTCCACGTCCAGGCTGCTCCGCTGTGGACACTTTTCACTTGAATAGATCTACCTGCCTTCGAAACACACCCAGAATAATATTTCTCTCTCTCTCTCTACACACACACAAACACACACAGCCTCCTGCTAGAAACGTTGCCTCAAGTGCCTCCCTAGGATAACT